GACTGGGCGAGTATAAATAACTCGATTGATGATGAAACTCGTGATTGTCGGCAACAGTCCGACTGGGCGAGTATAAATAACTCGATTGATGATGAAACTCGTGGTTGTCGGCAATAGTCCGACGAGGCGAATGTATATAACTCAGACAAAGTTGACTGACTGGACAGTTGATAGTCTCAAGTCGGATTTTAGCCGACCGTGTATCTATAAACAAGTCTTGAACCGATTAAGTCCTCAGGTCGGATTTCTGCCGAGACGGAATCCGACCCGGGACGGGTAGTTCAATGAATCAGTGACAACAACGAACCAATGCTTAATTGTAGGTTCAAATTACCATAACTTCGGCTCCAAGAGGCCTGTAAACAAGGTCCGCACTATCTCAAACTTAGCAAAAATTTCTGGCATTTACATAGTCGGTATATATATATATATATATATATTTCCCTCAACTTGTTTTAACTTGCAACTCACATCGACCCTACGACCAACCCAACTCAAACCTCGCTCAATAGAATGAATGACTTGTACCCTATATTTTGAGCACAAACTAAACTAATTTGAGTCCTTTTAGTTGATCATGTCTTGGTTGAATGTGAGTTTAGCCTAAAAGAAATACATACAAACCAAGCTTTCATCGAAATTAAGCCTCATTTTAGAAGTCTTAATTGAATCTAGTTGTTGTTGTTGGTTTTTTATTTTTTATTTTTTATTTTATCTAATAAGTTGTTACTGATATCCCACATCAAGTTTGTGACCATCATGACTCAAACCAACTTGATGAAATGGTAATTTTGAGCACAAATTAATTATAAGCATCTTAGCCTGATATACGCTTAACTAGCAAAAAGCCTATTCAAATCTAGTTTTCATCAATTGAAACCCAAATTGAATATAGAATTTTTGGTTCAACACGCATAGTCACATACAGCTTGCAACAAACTCAGCTCGTACTCGTCTAATGAAATGTAAGATTTAGACTTTTAATTTTGAGTCCAAGCCAAACTTGTCTGATGAAATGTGTAACAGCCCAAGCAACCCGCATGAGGATATTGTCCGCTTTGGCCCACGGCCGCACGGTTTTGCTCTTGGCGATGACACGCATGCCACCCCAAAAGGCCTCCTCCAAGGCAAGTCCTGCCAACCCATCAGAGTAGCGCAGCGACCCCACATGGCAAGATATTGTCCCCTTTGCCCTCAGGCCTCAGGGTTTTGTCCTAGGCAATGCCCTCATGGCATCCCTAAGGGCCTCCTCACAAGGAAGGTATCCACATCCATATATATGGCATGCTTCGTTCGCCTTCCTAACCGATGTGGGACTATATCCACCCCCCCTCAAGGGAGTCCAGCGCCCTCGCTGGCACACCGATCCGGGCCCCGGCTCTGATACCAATGTAACAGCCCAAGCAACCCGCATGAGGATATTGTCCGCTTTGGCCCACGGCCGCACGGTTTTGCTCTTGGCGATGACACGCATGCCACCCCAAAAGGCCTCCTCACAAGGAAGGTATCCACACCCATATATATGGCATGCTTCGTTCGCCTTCCTAACCGATGTGGGACTATATCCAC